AAGGGCCCCCGTGCTCTCCACAGTCCCCTGGGCCACAGGCAAGCAGGCAGCCGAGCCCAGGGTCAGCTCTGCAGCCCTGACCAGGCGCCCCGTGCCAAAGAGGTCCCTGTGCACCGTGACCACCATCTGTGCCTCCTGGCACTGCACGGCCACAGGGTGCAACGGAGCAGAAGCCTGGAGCTGGGAGACATCCACCCAGGCCCAGGGGGAGGGCTGGGAGAAGGCACGAGGCTGCCCCAAGGAAGGATTCTCTCTGTACCCCCATAGCTCTACCTCTCCCCTAGGGAAGTCCCAGGTGTTGTAAGCAACCACCTCCTCAAAAACCCAGCAGAAAACAACAAACCCCAGGCCGCTTCCAGTCCTCATCCTGCCTACCAGGGTCCAGCACAAAGGAGCAACTGTTGCCCAGGGACCTTTTATAGCCCACATCTCCCCCAACCACTCCCAGCCCAGGTGATGCTCAGCACACCTCCCATAAGGGCAACTGGCAGCAGCTGAGAGCACCCTAGGACCCCATGATGGTGGGCTCTAATGAGCTAATGAGGTGCTGGATTGGATCCTCTGCTCACAGGAGAGCTACTGAGTTTTCTGTGCAGCCAATGGCATTTTTTCCCCATTCTTTGGTAACAACCAGCTCTGTAAGATCCACAGAGATGTGTCCCACCTCCAGACCATACGTCCCACATCCAGATCATGGTACCCTTCCTGGGGTCTGACACTTCCCCAGGGCAAACCCACTCTTCAGGTGCCCAAACTTGTTCCTGTCCCCAGCTCCTTCAAGGTGCTATGCTGCTCTTTGGACATGCTCCAGCACCACGCTATACTTTTTGTAGCAAGGGGCCTGAAACTATGCAACATCCAAAGCCAAATGACATGAGTTGTTCCCATGAGGAGCAAGCTGATGGGCTTTCCTGGCACCTCCCCGAGCAAACAGGACCTCTTGGTGCTCTCTTGCTTGCCTCCAAGCCAACACCTACCTTGGGGACAGCTGCGCATCTCACATACATGAGTCATCCCAATGCTCGTTGTGCTCATCTGAGCTGCACTGTAGGTCCAAGGGGCCATCACACTGCAAAGCACCCATCAGCACAGCACCCACCCTCCTGCACGCCCGCCTTTTTGCGCACCTTGGGGTTGTGGGAGCAGAGGGATCGGATCCCGCCGACTGAAGGAAGATTTTTGGTTCTTCCCACAGCCACATCCCACACAGCAGCTCAACGGAACAGAGCAGCTCTGCCCGATCTCCTTCCCGGCAACGACCACCATCCTTGGTCCTTCTCAACCAGTCTCCCCACCTGCTGTTTCTCCAGCGGGCTTTGGATCCCATTGACTCCCCAAAAAAAACCCTGACCAGAAATGGTTCAAAAGATTTCTCCCAAGAGTTGGTTGGATCCATCCAAGGGGGACACAAAGGCACAACATGGCTGCAGGGTGTCAGATCAGAGCCAGGACAGGTAGGAAAGACATGTCACCTTTCAGATGTGGGGCTGCCCACCCCTGCAGTGAGTGCCAAGGCTGATGGTCCCCTGACTGGCATCACCAACTGTGCTGAGAGGTGGCCCTGGACAGCCAGCCATGTGGGTGGGCAGCAAGCAACGCTCACGGTCCACCTGAAGAAGGACTGATTACCCCTCAGATAAAGAGTACATGCGGGGCAAGATCTTATGGGGTTGAGAGGACCAAAGTGCAGCATCTGGTAACCTAAGAGCACGCAAGAAGTTGAAGGAACAAAGTCTGGTTCTCCATCAATCTCCACCAAACATACTGTCTTTGAACAAGATGGGACATAACTACCCTCTTGGGAAGTCTATGGAGATGCTGCAAAACTGCTCTGCCTCGATGCCTACACCCTGTAAAGTCCATCTGTGGCTTCACTGCTCTGGACACCACTTCCCTGAGACGTGCAGCACACTGTTGCCATCTGGCAGGTCTTCTATCAGGTTCTCCTCCTTGGTGGGAGTCGTGGAGGACACCAAACAGCTGGTCCCAGGCTAGTCCGAGCAGCTTGTCTGCTGCAGCACCATCTGGTTCCACTCGACCTCATTGCCCTTAACCTTCATCACCTTCACTGGCAATGTCAGAACATTTGCATTTTGGAGTTTCTTCCTCTTTGCAGGGGTTGGGGTGGAGACCTGAGTGTGCGAAGAGAAGCCCAGTGAGAGAGGTCCTGTGCGGTCGGGGATGGAGATGTCCTTTGCCCCTGGAGCACAGCCAAACAAGCTGACCACAGTTTTTCCCTGCCAAAAGCAAGCACTCTGCTTGCTCAGATGGCCTCTGCTGCTCTGGGGTCATCCAACACCATGTCCTCATTTCTGGCATGAGGCCCTGGGCTACTGCAGGTGGTGGCCACTCCAACCGCCTTGGCCAAGGTCTCCTTGGCAGAGAAGATGAAAACCTCCCTTTCCTTAGCTGGGGGAAAAAATAATCCATCTTTTTGCTTCAGCCCTGTAAGGCTTGCAAGAAGAGCTAAGCCCTTCTGATCCCAGGCTGGGGACGTGCTCTGCAGAGGGGCATCTTGGGGTTCTCCATCCCTGGTCCCGTGGTGGCTGTTTTGTTCCAGGCAGGCAGGTCTGATGCTAGAAAAATCCTTCATGCATGATGGGACTGGAAACCAGAAGACACCTTACCTTTAACATCACTGAAGGCCACTTCTGCAGGAGTAGAGCTCTGCCTTTCTTGCGAGAGATGTGTTTGGGGTCCCCAAGTCTACCATGACCAGTTGGAGCACCTCTCCCCTGCCAGCCCTGGATGTGGGCAGAGTGCAGATAGGAAATGATTTGCAAGCCACCGTACCTACTAGAGCTCTTCACCGTGCATGCAGAGGCCTGTCTCACTCTGAGATGATTTCACCTTAGCCAGAAAGGTGCCTTCAAGGGACAAAGCCTACCCTGGCTCTGCAGCCCTTGGCTGATCTCTTTCAAAAGAGAACCTGGAAAGCAGCGACCAAATGCCAGAACTCAAGCAACCTTGGCTGCAGGTAGCTCTAGATTCCTGATGGGTGACCTCACAAGGCGAAGATCCCAGATCAATGCCCATTCTCACCTGGTTGGAGATTTTCGTGGCTGGAGCAGGGGCAGTGTCTGGAAGAGGAACACAGTGAGCTGAGAGAAGGGTGAGCAACGCTTGGGAACATCTGAGACCCTCAAGAAAAGATCCTGCAGAAGGCACAGGTGGCTCTGGGGCATGCCTTTGGAGGGTCACCTCTTGGAGATTCACCCACCTTTTCATTAAAGCTTTCCTCCAGCTCTCCTGTGTGGGTTTGCTGCCCTGCCACCCATCCCAGACCCATAAGCCAGGAGGCTGCACATGCTAAGGGAAGAAAGAGGAAAATTAGTAGGATCATGCTGTTCTTGAGCAAGTTATTGCCATGCAGTAGTGAGGGCTCATTCACGGGGGGATGCTGCCTTCCCAAAGCCCACAGAAGACTACTGCAGCATTCAACCCAGCAGGATTTATTGGCATAGCAAGGTGCGATGGAGAGTCTGGTCTCCACAGGGACCTTTAAAGGGTCTTCCAAGCAGCTGCAGCCCATGGCAAATGTTCTGGTTTGCAGACCCTCACTTCTTCCTCCGCTTCTGAAGCCTGATGCTGGTCTTCCCAGCACGCTTGCCCCTGGTGGGGTGCCTTGGTGTAGGACATTCCTCCTCAGAGGCTGGGCTGGAGGGCTCGGAGGGTGCTGGGCTGGCAGGGGAAGTGGCAGGAGGGGGTTTGCTGGGGGAAGGGGCTGTGGCAGCCTCAGGGACCAGCAGTTCATGGTTCTGCTGGGTGCTGAGGGGGATTAACTCCAGCAAGTCGGAGGGCAGGGATGGCCAGTCCGTGCCTGTGGTGTGGAGGTGCTCCGAGCTGACTGTGGGCTGCAGCAAGGGTCCCATGGCAGAGGTGATGGTCACCAGGGAGCGGGACATGGCCTGGATGTGCCGGGTGATGGACACCAGCTGCCTGTTTGCCCTGCGCTGAGCTTGCAGGAGGCAATCTCCCATCTTCAGGAGCTTGTCCCCTTGCTGCACGTTGGACCTGGCCCAGCCACTGAAATCTTCCTGCAGGGAAGCCAGAGAGCTCTCGATGTTCCTGAAAAGAGGTGCAGTGTTCCCGTGAGATGAGCCCGAGTCCTCTGCTGCTACTTCATCCCTCTGAAGGGCTGGAGGTGTGGGTTGGGGGGGGTACGCCTGCCCTCCCTGGGCTGGACACGTGTGTCTGCTGCTGCTGGAGGGGTCCAGCACAGGGGCACAGCACTGGCGGTGGGCAGGCAGCTCCACAGAGAGACCTCCATGGGGTTGCCAATGCTCCTTGGGAGTCTCGAGGTCGAGGATCAGCGTAGTCTCATCTTCAGATGGGGAGTCGTGCTGGGGAGCAGAGGTACCTGTTGTGGAGAGGTGGGCTGGAGGGAGAGAGGGGAGAATCAGGGCTTGAAGGGTCTGCCCAGCCTGTCTCTGTGGGCTGGAGAGGGGAGACGGAGGGATGATGCCTACCATGCGCTGGAGATGCAAGGAGTGGGGGGTGAGGCAGCTTGTCCCCAGGAATCCCAGGCTACACCTAGAACCTTGCCCCTGGGCTCTTCTACAGACTATCCATAGCACATGAGCTTGGCTCGGGGAGCTCAGTGGTGAATGCCCATAGAGGGCCAAGGAAGACACCGGTCATAGCCCAGGTCTGAAGACAGCGGCAGGGGGATGGAGCAGAAGACTCTGCAGAGTCTCTTCCTCCCATATTTTTTTTTTGTGCCACATTTTCTGGAAGGATACTCCCACCGTCTGACCAAATGTGGATTCTCCAGCACACCATCCCTGCACACACCACAGATGCCAAGGCCTTCACCATTCCCAGATCATGAGCATCTCCACCTCTGTGCTGCTGCCAAAGACCTGGGGGAAGACCTGAGCAAACCTGGAAGAGGTCACAGACCTCTAGTCATCCCTGTTGGGGAGTGATCCCAGGGAATATTTCACCTTCTTGGTTGAATACAACAATCCCAAGGTGGTAAGCAACAACTCAAAAGGGGAACTGCCCCAGATGGTTGTGGACAAAGGTTGAGCACAGACAAACTGGCTGGAGATCTGAGGAGCAGAAGTGGTCAGTGGGTGGCAGGACACTAAGGGCTGATGGATGGTTACGAGCCCTGAAAGACTTGCAGGTCGCCAGCACAAACATCTCTGAGAGGCCATAGGATTGACCCAACCCTTCCACCTCCTTCTTCCCTCCCCCCCCAGCCTCTGTGAGCCCCTGCTCCATGTGCTGCTCAACTCCATTGTCCCTCAAACCACGACATGGCTTCATCCCAAGGCACTCCCCACGTCCCTTCG